GCGTCAGCCAAAAAAAGAGTTGTTTTGCTGAAAGTAAAGCCTAAAAGTTTGTCAGGACTGAAAGCCTCTCTTACTATATTTAGAAAATGTTTCTTTGTGAGTCATGGGTAGGTTGCACTGTCCAAACGAGGTGCAGAGGACTGCAAAACAACTTTTGCTGTATCAGTTATGTCTTAATATTTCTCTGCAGTGTCTCCCAGACTATATGCGTGCTTGGATGTCCTTATATTACTGGTTAGCAGCAAATTCATTGAAGCTGGGAGGATTTTAACACTAACTCACCTTTCACCATTTCCCCACTTGTGTAAATCCTCCCCACTACCCCGCAGGGCACCAGCCAGGTTCCTTTCTGCCACTGCTGGTTGTTATTGTCCATGTCCCACCACCAGCGCAGGTGACAAAGCCTTCTCAGAAAGGCCAGCCTGTGGTTCGTGAAAGCCAACACGGCACCTTGTGCCGGCACTGGCAAAGCTGCACGCCACACGGGCATCGGCACCGCGTGCCCTGCCTCAGTGCATCAGAGCCTCGGCAGGCACGGGCTGCACCTCGCTGAAGCCCCCTCCGCTCGAGGCTGCCGCGTAAATGTGGTGGGTGTGAAGGAAAGCCTAGGGACGCCCCTTGCTGTGCTTGTGAAAGAAGGTGGTGCTTTACCATCCTTGCTCAGCTCTTTGCGCTAAAAGATGTTTTGGCAGGAAATTTGTTTTGTGGACTAATTCTTGGTAAACTAGATGGTATTCACGTGTTTATCTTTTTTCCGTATGAACTGCAAGTCCTGATGTGAAGAAGATGCACACTGTGCCAGGCATATTCATTCCTTAAGGAGACAGCAGGATTTAGCAGAGGCCCAAAATTTAGAGAAGGTTTTATTTGCTGAGAGGCCAAAGGGAGATAAAGGAAGAGGAGCCGGGAGGAGAGGAGAAGATGGATCTTTCAGTGCTTATCTTTCAGCCCACACAGCAATGTTATCACATCAGTGCCCTGAATCTGCAAGCCATCAGTCAGGGCCAGACTCTGCTGCCTTTGCTGAAGGCTAAAGCCAATGTGGATGTATGGAAGCTTTGAACTGAGGCGTCTAAAATAGGATGTCGTAAGTAAGATATTGTGGAACGGGCTGCCCAAATCAGCTTTTATTCTTGTCTAACTTCACCATTTTTAGAGAAATAACATACCTCTCCTTGTCCATCTTCTAATGGGGCTTGCTCACTCAGTAGAAACACCCCCGACTTCCCCAAGGAAGACTCTAACCTTGCTCCTCCCAGAACTGTGCAACAAGAAGACCCTTTTGTCTCATCTTTTACATCTGTCTCACTGTAAAGTCAACCACCCCTTGATTTCTGAAATCTGATGCAGATCACAAGTGTCCCTGGCATCCACTGCTTCTGCTCAGCTGGCAGTGTCAGCAGACATTTGATTAACTACAGGGATTTGAGCACCAAGGGGATTCAAGGTGGGGCACGAAGTGACTTGTGTCTCAAGCCCTTCACGCCTCCCCCGTGGGCTGCTGGCAGAACAGCAGTTCGAGGCCTTTGCTTGTAATTACTGCAGGGGTAATCGGGAGAAAAGATCTGCCCACTGCAGTACAATATGGCTTGTCACCTGCAACATGGGTGGCAAGTCCTTGACAGGTTTGAGGAGAGGAACATCTCACAAGATGCACTGCAAGGACAAGGTGCAAAAGAGGCTATTAGTTCAAACAAAATCCTGCAGACTGTCCTTGGTACAGTGGTGGGGTGTGTGGGAGGCATCTCGTGCTGCTCATCTTTCAGACACTGACGCAGTAAACAGAGGGCTGAGGGCTTCTTTCTCCTTGCTCCCACCAAAAAAAGCAGAGGCTCTTGGCTTAGGAATCTGTGCTTACCTGCAGCTGTTTGGCCTCCGCAGCTCCCCGGGAATATGGTCAGCTGTTCCTCGGTAGCATTTTCTGTTTGCATTCTTTTAAATGAAAACAGTGATTTTTGACTGTGGACAAAAGAACTGTGCTGGCTTAGGGCATTAATTTAGGTGGATTTTACTATATTTCTAAGGAGCATAAACCATTATTTGGTGTCGTCCCTTTTCTCCAAATAAAAATGTATGTGCGTTCCGTTAAAAATACATTTTGTGTATAAGTCACATAGTGATAACATTAAATGCGGTATAAAGATGGTAATAAAACTGGTTATAACATTTATACATTTTTCACGACCAGGGTGCTTTGCAGTTGGCGATCTGCTGTAAATGCATGCTTGCCACTGGAGGAAGCGACACCCTTACACTGCAAAAGACGACAGCTGCCTGACGCCAGGACCCGTGGCCCCGGGATGGGTGGGTGGGTGCTGCGGAGGAAGAGGCTGTGGCGGAGAGGGTGGAAAACACTGCTGGGACTGCGGGGAGGAGACCCCGCACAGAAGCACCCATTGAGCGAGCGCCTGTCCCATGTCTCCTCCTCTCGTGCCTCAGCTCTGCCGCTTCCCCTTCTCCTTTCAGCAGCAGCAGCCTCTCTGCATTGGGGCCCTGGTGTTTGGCATCACCCAGCCTGCTCAGAAGCCTTGGGTTGTCTGGGTGCGCAGTGTGCTCTGGGAGGACAAGCAGATAAATCAGAGCAGGAAAAGGGAAGAACAGGGAAAATGCTGCTATCCGCATTTTCCCCAGGGCTCTCCGGTGGTTTTTTTTGTATGTCTGATCTGTTGCAACAGGATGAAGCAAATTCCAGACACGCTGACTGCCCTCTAGCTGTATCTTCTAAACCAGCCACATTTCGTACAACTCCGTGTCCTTTCATGGGGATTTCATTGCCGTGGGGAGCGTGGCTGTTCTCCCTTCCCGTGCTGCGGCCGAGGGCCCTGTGCCTTCCCCAGAGGCTGGCAGGATCAGCTAGCACATCCCAGAGCTGGCCGACGCTGTCACCTCCGCTTATTTGCCGTGGACCTGTGCGACCAGGGAAGGTGAGGAAGAGATGAGGTGCTTAGTGTGGCTAATCCTGGCTGCAGTGCTCTAATGAAAGTCATGCAGGGGCTGTACGGAAACCGCTAGAGCATGTGAACATCACCCAACAGTCAGCCATGGCAAGGTCTCTAAACTGCTCTCCATCAAAGGGCATCCAACATTTGCACAAGCACAAATCTGCAAAGTGATTTTTTTTTTTTTTTAAATGTTCACTGACTTTTATAGGATATGCACAATGAATACTAAATAAAGGGCTGATGTTCCCTAAGTCATTTCCCATTATGACACTTCAGACGCCATTATGTGGTGTGACTTTTTAAATACTTTTTTTTTAAAAGGTCATGCTGTTTATGCTGCATAATATAGAATATAATTCCACTGTAAATTAGAAATGTACTTTAAAGCTTGCTGCTGTGTTTCACGCAGGTGAAAGAGATTTGAAAACATGAGTCCTCCTTGTGGGGAAGCAATTGTGGGAAATGTTTAGTATCACCATAATCAGGGGCTTTATGGACTAGTAATGGGCTATGGAGGCCTCCTAGGACACCTTGCCGCACTTCCTGCCTCCGCTCTAGCCTCTCATTTTCCAGTTCTTGACACTATTAAATTTGTCTTGATTTTACTGTTACAGGAAGTTTGGGGTATACTGTAACCTTACCTAACTAACCCAGAGCCGTTTCCTTTAGCTTCAGAGGATACGCTCAGGCCTGACAGGTTTCTCTCCCAGCAGATAAGCAGAGTTGGCTTTCTGTACGTTGAAATGATTGCAGGCCTGTCAGTCCCTGTATACGCTAATTCTCTGGAAGTTGATTAAGTATTCTATTGCTTTAGAACTTCAAAAACTTGCAAAACATACTGTCCTCTTTCTTTCCAGGTAAACCACAGCACAGACACTGGATTTTGAAGGACATGCAGCCTGATTCCAAAATTCCCCTGTGCCAGCTCTCCAGGGAGCCAGTTTCCAAGGTAAGCAAATGAGTTAAAACCACGGATCTTTGATCCTTATTTAAAAAACTTCCAGTCACGTATTGCTTCAGGAGGCAGAACACACAAAAAGGAGAGCAGCCATGAGGCACAGAAGCAGACTGCATCCTAACACTGAAAGGTATTTTGGCCTGACTTTTCTGTGGAACACATGATTGAAAAAGTCAGGGAAGACTACTGAGAAAATACACTGTCTGATGCTGGTGCGGTGGAGATGCCAAGTAAAGGAATAAAGAAAATACAGTGGGGTTCAGAGAGGTGTCAAGAGATGCAGAACAGTAACACAGGGAGAAACCTGAGAAGCAGATTTCTTCCATCTAAGGGGAGAAATCGTGAGCCGCGCATGAAATGTAAGTTACGTGCTTTTTGAGAAATATGGAAAATAATTTCACGTTCACAAAGTTTCTTACCAGAGACTGGCACATTCTAAGGATGGTATCTGGACTGAAGGGGCAGGCCAGGCTGCAAGTGAAGGACTGTGTTATCAAGTAAGCACTTGCTACCAAACAGGTCTGCAGGGCAGCAGCTGCCGCTTGGATGGTGCAGGCACAGGGGCTCGGGGGGTGGCAGAAGCCAAGGGGCAGCACTGGGCAGTGCCTCTGAAGCCAGTTACATCCAGTCACCATGAACTTTACTGTAAGGGCAGACCTAAACTGAGGCACTGTGCTAATACAGCCACCTTGGAATATATTGCTGGTCTGTGTATTAGGTATACAACTTGCCAGAATACTCGCGCATTACTACTGAGTTAGCAAAAGGCAATGTTCATGTTTGTAGGACTGATTTTTTATTATAAAACCATTTTTTTGTGTTTAAATATGCTATCAACGTGGTCTGTAACATACTAAAAATACCTTGGAAAAAGCAGAAGAAAGAAACATTTCTGTGCTAGAAGAGAAGGTAACAAAATATTTTCAACTGTCAACCAAAAAAAGAAACTTGGTCAAAATTTCAGAAGGACAAAATATGTTACAGGTGAAAACTCTGCGGTATTTCTGTAATGAAGTTCATGGTCAGCGCATCTTAATGTGTATTTAGCGTGACAGATTACTGAGAACGCCCCTAGTTATTTGGTGCAGGTTAATTTCATGCAAATATTCTATTTTCCACTGAATGTTGTTAAAACACAGGACAAAATCCTTTAAAGGTAAGCAGTCGAGAAAAACCCACGCCACTTGGACTACCAGGGCGAGCATCGCCTCACAAGCGTAAGAAAAGAACAGACACAAAGTTCTCATTCCTCCTGTATGGGGACACCATTCACGCAGTCCACCCAATGATCTTATACATCAGCGCCCTCAAAAGCCTGGCTTCGTAGGTAACTGTATTTTTCCCACTGTGCATCCTCTTCTCTTCAAGGGGCTGCTCAATGACAGCTGGGATGTTTCTTCCATACAGCTCACACTGCTTCAGAAACTGGATGCACTCTTGAATAACGTTGTCACGTAGCATGATCATGTGCTTGGACATGTTCTCCAGCAAGGAGAGGAAACATCGTTTGGCGTAATACCATGTATCAGTGCTCAGTTTTTTGTTATATGGCTCCAGGCTTTTAATGACCCTTGAAATACCAAAGTCGTAGTTTCCCTTCACACAGTAGAGGGTACCAATGACTAGATTGACAATGCAAAGATGGTAGGTGTTTTTATCAGGATTTTCATAGGACAGCTGCTCTTCTCCCTTCTCGATCTTCCTCATCAGTTCCTCCGCATCTTCATTCTGGCTTGTCAGGATGTAGGAAACGCAGAGGTTAGCTAACACGATGGCACTGACCTGGAGAATGTCATCATAGTGCTTTTTAACTATTGGCTCGTATAAGCTAATAGCTTCTTTATACTTGTTCTCCTGCATGAAGAGCACGTGAGCCACATTGAGCTTCCACACCTCATGGTCGTTACAGAACTCCACCGATTTGCGGAAAATCTTTTCTACCACTGCGTAGTTCTTCATGTCCCAGTAGATCTTTGCCTGGGCCATCAAGACAGGTACGTATTTATCTAGAGTCTCATCGTACTCATTAACTGCCTTTTTTACAGCTTCATCATCCCAGTTTTGCCTAGCTTCCTGCACCTGCTTGCGAAACCCTCTAGCTTGTGAAAGGCCTCCTCAGGGGCAGTTTGACAAGTAATAACGGCATCCAAGAAGTTGTACAAGTAAGGTGTGAGCAGTTTGTAGGTCAGATGGGCGTTCTCTGCCAGCACATCAGCTGCCAGGTCGTAGTACTGGTGCTTGCAATAGAGGAGCAGCAAGTTTCCAAAAGTTTCTGGTGGACAAGGGTTCTGCAGCAGAAGAAACTGCAGTTTCTCAAACCCTTCAGTGGGCTGGCTGTCCATGTTCATCAGCGCTTGGTTGTGCAGCGTGACTGGGTCCAGCTCCTCCTCCGCCCTCGGCGGCATGTTCGTGAGTGCCTCCTGGGCCGCCTGCAGGTTGCGCAGCTGGTACTCAATGGCCGCCTTGAGGTTGAAGGCCTCCACCAGGGCCGTGCGGTGCAGGAGCAGCGTGTTGCCGACGCTGCGGACGTCAATGCCCTCCGTGGTCATGCCCACACTGAGCTCCGGGTGCTGGTGGATGCCGCGCTCAATGATATCGGAGATGTGCTTGAGGGCAGGGGCGTACTGCCTGGCCGCGTAGCAGCACAGCGCCATGTTGTAGGACAGCTCCGGGCAGTAGCCCAGCATCTGCATGGCGCCCGCAAACTTGC